TCAAAAGAATTTTTAAAAATGGCAATAAGAAGATACATATCAATAATTACCTTAAATGTAAATAGGTTAAATGCTCCAACTAAAAGACACAAACTGCCTGAATGGATGCAAAAATAAGACTCATATATATGCTGTCTATAAGAGAACCATTTCAGACCTAGGAACACATACAGACTGAAAGTGAGGGGATGGAAAAAGATATTCTATGCAAATAGAAATGAAAAGAAAGCTGGAGTGACAATACTCATATCAGACAAAACAGACTTTAAAATAAAGACTGTTATAAAAGACAAAGACATTACATAATGATCAAGGGATTAATGCAAGAAGAAGATATAACAATATAAATATATATGCACTCAACATAGAGACCCTCAACATACAAGGCAAATGCTAAGGGAAATCAACAGTAACCCAATAATGGGAGATTTTGCCCTTCACTGTTCACCTGACACTATCACAATACTGTTAGTTGGCTATATCCCAGTAAAAAAAAAAAACTTTAACAAAAAATAGAGAATAAACAGAAAATAATGGGGGACTTGACATCCCACTTCCACCAATGGACAAATCATCTAGACAGAAATTCAATAAGGAACATAGGCCTTAAATGACTCATTAGACCAGATAAACCCAACTGATATTTACAAAACATTCCATCTAAAAGCAGCAGATACACTTTCTTCTCAAATGCACATGGAACATTCTCTAGAATACATCACATCTTGGGCCACAAATCAAGCCTTGGTAAATTTAAGAAAACTGAAATCATATGAAGTATCCTTTCTGACCACAACACTGTAAGATTAGAATTAAATTACATGTAACAACTGTAAAGAAAACACACACACACACACAATCATGTGAAGGCTAAACAATATGTTACTAAACCAATGGATCACTAAAGAAATCAAAGAGAGAATAAAAACATACCTAGAGACTAATGACAAAACACGACAATCTAAAACCTATGTGAAGCAACAAAAACAATTCTAAGAGGGAAGTTTATACCAATATGATCTTACCACAGAAAACAAGAAAAATTTCAAATAAACAACCTAAACCTACACCTAAAGCAACTAGAGAAAGAAGAACAAACAAAATCCAAAGTTAGCATAAGGAAAGAAATCATAAAGATCAGAGTAGAAACAAATGAAATGGAGACAAAACAATAGAAAAGATGAATGAAACTAAAAGCTGGGTCTTTCAAAAGATACACAAAATTGATAAACTTTTAGCCAGACTCATCATGAAAAAAAGGGAGGACTCAAATCAGTACAATTACAAATGAAAAAGAAATTACTATAAGCACCACAGAAATACAAAGGATCATGAGAGACTACTACTACACTACTAAACGTGCCAATAAAACAGACAATCTAGAAGAAATGGACAAATTCTTAGAAAGGCACAACCTTCCAAGACTGAACCAGGACAAACTAGAAAATGTGAACAGACCAATAACAAGTGATATTGAAACTGTGATTTTAAACCACATGGCTTCAAAGGTGAATTATATCTCACATTTAGAGAAAACTTATCACCTATTTTTCTGAAACTCCTGCAGAGGAAGGAAAACTCCCAAACACCTTCTAAAAGGTTATCATCACCCTGGTATCAAAATCAGACAAAGCACAAAAAAAGAAAATTATAGGCCAATATCACAGATAAACAGATGCAAAAATCCTCAACAAAATACTAGCAAACCAAATCCAACAATACATCATGATCAAGTGGGATTTATCCCAGGGATGCAGGGATTCTTCAATGCAAGCCAATTAATTAGTGTGATATATCATATTAACAAACAGAAGAATAAAAACCACATAATTATCTTTGTAGATGCAGAAAAAGCTTTTGACAACATCATGCATATTGATATTACTTTAAATGTAAATAGATTAAATGCACCAACCAAAAGACATAGACTGGCAGGGTGGATGAAAACATGTGCATGTACACACTTCTACTTACCACATCAGTCTGCTTGACCTCCCCACCAAATTGTATGTAATTATTTTATATTGTTAAGTTAATCATGTTCCCATTATGGCTTGCAATTTTAATTAACTTTTATTTTTTGTCTGGCTATTGATTGTGAAAACTGATAAACATCTTTTACTTTTGTGATTATATTACTCACTTAATACCACTGTATCATGATTGGTCAACAGAAAAATAATAGACCTCTATATCACCAAAACTAGTATCCAACAGAAAAAACCTGTAATCACTTTTTAAAATCTAGATGCATATCAAAATTATCTTGAAACTTTTTGAAAAATACAAATGCTCAGGTATTTCTTTTTCTCTCCAGAGCTCCAGATATGCTTCTAACAAGCAGTCATGTTTAAAAACAACTTGACTATATCATGATCTTTTAATTTTATCTAGTATATTTCACTTTTTTCTATTTCATATTCAGGGCTCCCATTTCATTTAGTTTATGTTCTCTAATTTTTCCATCTCTTCTTTTTTTTGGATACTCTTTCTCAAGCCTTTATCAAGTGTAGTAGAAAAACTTTTGTATACACATATGTAAATGTGTAATATGTATATTTTAGAAAACTTATGAATTTTTGTCTAACTAAAAATTATGACATTTTGATTCCACCTGTTTGACTTAGTATGACTAGAATGCTAGATTTCTAATTAAAAACTAGATATGCAATAAGTGACAAAGTTTTACTGTATAGCATATGGAACTATAGTCAATATCTTGTAATAACCTATGATAGAAAATAATTTCAAAAATAATATATGTGTATTTGTATAACTGAATCACCTTGCTGTGCACCTGAAACACTGTAAGTCAACTATACTTCAATAAAATATATATATTAAAAAAATGGCAAAGTTCAACAATGCAAAACTGCAATTACTTTTGCACCAACCTAATAACAACCTACTATATGCAACGGGGAACTCAACACTCTACAATAACCTATATGGGAAAAGAATCTGAAACAGAATGGATATATGTACAACTGATTCATTCATTTTGATGTACACCTGAAACTGACAATAAAAGTTAAAAAAATTAGAAATAATTCAATATTTAGGGGAAGAAAAAGAAACATCTTTGAAATCATCTTTAATGACCATCATTCAGTAATAAGAGTCTTTTCATTTGGTTTTTCAGATGCTAGGAATCAAGATACTCATAACCAGTTTAAGGTTCAGTTTGGCTGAAGAAATAATGTGCATGTCTCTATATGAAAAAATTTCTATTTTTGTTACCCTCATCCCACCCAGTTTCTTTTGCAGTGAGTTGAAGTGTTGTAGAGTTCTCTGTAGGATTACGTTGTGATAAGCCCAGAAACAGTCTCAGACATAAGGATATATATATATTTTATATCTTTTAAAATAAATCTAAGTCTCAGTTCATAAGTATTATCTAGGGACCTCATACTATTCTTCCTTTCTTTTCTTAAAATCATCCTTAGCTGGTTGTCAAAAGCAGCTGAGAACTTTCTGTATAATACACCACTCTGGTGAAGAGTCAATTGTGGTTCAGATATTTTATCCAGTCTTTCATAGGTTCCAGATGTATTGTACAAACAAAAGGTTGATAACTTCCCCCCAAAATTAACAATTCAAGGTTTTTTTCCAATGAAAGAAAACACAGAAAATGATACACAAAAACTTTTCATTTTGCTACTCCTTTGATTCTAGTTGAATGTAACTTTGCCAGTACAAAGTAGATTGCAAAAGTCAAATAACTGAAGTATTATCAATCAAATTAACCCAAAGCATACAAAATCCATAGGTTTAACAGTTTATTTTTTAAAAAAGTCCTTATCCAATTATGTTCATTGCTATGGAGTACTAAAAATTTAACACATAACTACTTACTTCTGGTCTCTTATTTGTAAGTAGTAAGATCATTTCCAAAAAATATTATAGCATATATTAACTTTTAAATTAAAAACTGTTCAACAGTAAATAGCCGAAATCAAACTAAAGTGACATCAAAAGGCAATTAAGTGATTTATAGTCATTCATTAAACAATTTATGGGTCATCTCTAGACAGTGGAATACTATGCAGCCACGAACAAGAATAAGACAGCTTATCACATAATGATTTTGAATGATTTCTAAGAGATTTTGTGAAGTAAAAAGCAGCTCACAGAATAGTGTATAAATACACTACTTGGTTAAAACCATGATGTGAGGGAAAAAGAATTATATATATATATATATGAATACTATAGTTGTTTATATATTACATATTTAGTATAGTTTTTTATATAATATAGGTAACACAGATCCCTGGAAATAAAAAAAAAGAAATTAAACTAGAGAGGAGAACAGGAGGTAGCCATTGCAGTACAAAGAATTTTTACTGAATATTTGTTTCTGAATACTTTTATCTTTTAGTTTAAAATCATATAAAACCATGACCTATTCAAAAATAATTTATTTATTTATTTTTGCCAATATTTTTATTTATTTATTTAGTTTTTGGATGTTGAGTTTTTTTTTTTCCATTTATTTTTATTAGTTGGAGGCTAATTACTTTACATCATTGCAGTGGTTTTTGTCATGCATTGAAATGAATTAGCCATGGACTTACATGTATTCCCCATCCCGGTCCCCCCTCCCACCTCCCTCTCCACCCGATCCCTCTGGGTCTTCCCAGTGCACCAGGCCCGAGCACTTGTCTCATGCACCCAACCTGGGCTGGTGATCTGTTTCACCCTAGATAATATACATGTTTCGATGCTGTTCTCTTGAAACATCCCACCCTCGCCTTCTCCCAGAGTCCACAAGTCTGTTCTATACATCTGAGTCTCTTTTTCTGTTTTGCATATAGGGTTATTTAAAAACTCAAAATTTTTAATAAAAAATGTCTATAACTCTGGTTGCTATTTTAGAGTATCTAATTTTTCTTAGGATGTTAAGATATTGCTTTTCTGTTTCTGTTGAAGAAAGAATACAGCCTCATGTGTCACGACCCAGTCTTATTTTAAAAACAGGTTTTAGGTACTGTACTCACAGTTCCACCCATGTGAGGAGGCAGGTATTCTACACTGACATAGTCTTGGATGTCATTTTTACTCGTAAACTTCAACAAACTCACTGCTTCTGGACCAAGCCAAGTTTTCACAATTTTGAAAGCAGCTGAAGAAAAAGACAATCACTGTATTAAATTCCTTTCATTCTCTTTCTTGATTTACTTACCGTATGTGCCAACGTAGGTCCTCTGAGATTAGTTTGGGCTATAATCTGTTAATATGTATTTTTCCATGGCATGATAGTTATATTCACATTCTCTAACCCCTTATGGCAGAAAGTGAAGAAGAACTAAAGAGCCTGTTGATGATGAAAGTGAAAGAGGAAAGTGAAAAAGTTGGCTTAAAGCTAAACATTCAGAAAACTAAGACCATGACATCTGGTCCCATCACTTCATGGCAGATAGATGGGGAAACAATGGGAACAGTGAGAGACTATTTTTAGGGGCTCCAAAATCACTGCAGATGGTGACTGCAGTCAGGAAATTAAAAGATGCTTGCTCCTTGGAAGAAAAGTGATGACCAACTTAGCATATTAAAAAGCAGAGACATTACTTGCTGAAAAAGGTCTCTAGTCAAAGCTGTGGTTCTTCCAGTAGTCATGTATGGATGTGAGAGCTGAATCATAAAGAAAGCTGAGCACTGAAGAATTGATGCTTTTGAACTGTGGTGTTGGAGGAGACTCTTGAGAGTCCCCTGGACTGCAAGGAGATCCAACCAGTCCATTCTAAAGGAAATCAGTCCTGAATATTCTTTGGAAGGACTGATGCTAAAGCTAATACTCCAATACTTTGGCCACCTGATGCAAAGAACTGACTCATTGGAAAAGACCCTAAAGCTGGGAAAGATTGAAGGTGGGAGGAGAAGGGGACGACAGAGGATGAGATGATTGGATGGCATCACTGACTCAATGGACATGATTTTGAGCAAGCTCCAGNGGAGGAGAAGGGGACGACAGAGGATGAGATGATTGGATGGCATCACTGACTCAATGGACATGATTTTGAGCAAGCTCCAGGAGTTGGTGATGGACAGGCAAGCCTGGAGTGCTACAGTCCATGGGGTTGCAAAGTTGGACATGACTGAGCAACTGAACCGCACTGAATCCCTGTAGGCATTTATACTTTTAACTGTGCCTTATGGATTTCAAATGTTCCAGGAAGATTCTGGAGGATTAAATTACCTTGATGTTCATTAACAAACTTATGGTTTTGGCCTGTGAACAAATCCATCAATGATCCCGACTTCTAAGATTTCCAGACAATGAATCAAACTGCATTGTGATTCACTATCTGTACAACAGTATGGGAAGAGTCATTTGCCTTATGCTTCTCTGATAAATCCCCAATCTGAAAAATCTTCTAAAATGGGAAGTCAGGAAGAGAAAGAAAAAGCACTTCCCTTATGTATGTGAGCCAGACCCAGACTTTCCACCCTAACCTTAAACTTCTGTGCCTTTCTTCTAAGCCCTGCAGCTTAGAGTTATGACGATATTATATAATCTCCAAGAATAAAATTCTCAAACACAGCTATTTAGTAACTACAATTTTGTTCTATCATGCCATTTTGATAAACTTTTTAACCTTCTTTCCATCATGACTTCCTAAGCACATTTTAATGGAATTAAAAGAGAAATCCTGAATTAATTTGCAAAGCATCAATGAAAAAGTCAGGAAATAAAACAGCATGATAACGAACATTAAACAGTAGTTCAGAAAATTGCATTTTTACTTTGGCTAATTATGTTTAAAATTTTCTACATAACATTTACATTTTCATTAATTTCAATTTAAAAAGTCTGAGTTGGCATGTTTGAAGCTATGGTACTTGAAAGTAACTGAAGTGCTAAAGTTGACTTTTTATAACAGCTTTTATTGAGATAAAATTTACATACCATAAAATTCACTTTTTTAATGTATACTCATCAATGATTTTTCTTTAGTATATTCACAGAGTTGTGGAACTCATCACCACTATCTAATTTTGGAACATTTTCATCATCCAAAAAGAAATCTCCACCCATGGGCAATCTCTCCTTATCTTCCTTTCTCCCTGACAACCATTAATCTAGTTTCTGTCTTTATGGATTTGCCCATTTTTATAACTGTGTTTTTATAAATACGTGTTTTTATTTCCTACTAGCTTTGTTCACTCAGCATGTTTTTAAGGATCATCTGTAATGGAGCATGTATCATATTTAATTCCTTTTTATGGCTGAATAATTTTTCATTTCATGGTTATATAACATCTGCTTATTTGCTGTTTATTAGCATTTGTTATTATCAATAACCTCAGATACACAGATGATACCACCCTTATGGCAGAAAGTGAAGAGAAACTAAAGAGCCTCTTGATGAAAGTGAAAGAGGAGAGTGAAAAAGTTGGCTTAAAACTCAATATTCAAAAAACAAAGATCATGGCATCTGGTCCTATCACTCCATGGCAAATAGCTGGGGAAACAATGGAAACAGTGACAGACTTTATTTTCTTGGGCTCCAAAATCACCTGAGATGGTGACTGCAGCCATGAAATTAAAAGATGCTTGCTCCTTGGAAGAAAAGGTGTAACCAACCTAGACAACATATTAAAAAGCAGAGAGACATTACTTGCCGACAAAGATCTCTAGTCCAAGCTGTGGTTTTTCCAGTAGTCAAGTATGGATGTGAGAATTGGACTATAAAGAGAGATGAATGCTGAAGAATTGATACTTTTGAACTGTGGTGTTGGAGAAGACTCTTGAGAGTCCCTTGGACTGCAAGGAGATCAAACCAGTCCATCCTAAAGGAAATCAGTCCTGAATATTCATTGGAAGGACTGATGCTGAAGCTGAAACTCCAATACTTTGGCCACCTGATGCAAAGAACCGACTCACTGGAAAAGACCCTGATGCCAGGAAAGATTGAAGGTGGGGGGAGAAGGGGACGATAGAGGATGAGATGGTGGACGGCATCACTGACTCAATGGACATGAGTTTGAGCAAGCTCTAGGAGTTGGTGATGGACAGGGAAGCCTGGCCTGTTGCAGTCCATGGGGTTGCCAAGAGTCAGACACGACTGAGCCACCGAACTGAACATTTGTTTGTCCATTCATCAACTGATGAACTTTGGATTATTTACACTTTTCACTACTATGAATAATGCTACTATGAACCTTTGTGTAGAACTCTTTGTGTAAACACACGTTTTCAATTCTCTGGGACATATACCTAGGAGAGAAATTGCTAGGTCACATGATAACTCTGTATTTAATTTTTTGAGGAATGGCCAACTGTTTTTCCAGTGGCTGCACTATTTAACATTCTCACCCACAATGTATGAGGGTTCCAAATTCTCTACATCATTATGGACACTTGTTACTTTATTCTGTCTTTTTGATTACAGCCATCCTAGTAGATGTGAAGTAGTATCTCATTTGGTCTTAATTTGCATTTCTTTAATGATGTTGAGCAGCTTTTATGGTTTATCATCCATTTGCATATTTTCTTTGGCAAAATATCTATTAAAATCTTTTGTCCTTTTCAACTGGGCCACTTGTCATTTTATTGTTGCATTATAAAAGTCATTTATATATCCTACTCACAAATCCCTTTTCTGATGTCTGATTTGTAAATATTTTCTTCCATTCTGAGAATTGTCTTTTTACCTTCTTGATGGTGTCCTTTAAGGTAAAAAAGTTTTCAATATTAACGAAGTACAATATAATCTATTCCTTTGTTGCTTGTGCTTTTTGGGTCATACCTAAGAAACCACTGTCTACTCCAAGGTCACACTGATTTACCCCTATGGTTTTTCTAACAGGTTTATAGTTTTAACTCTGATCCATTTAGAGTTCATTTTTGTAGATGATGGAAGGTAGAGGTCCAACTTCATTCTTTTGAATGCTGATATTCAGTTGTCCCAGTATCATTTGTTTAGAAGGCTAATCTTTCTCCACTTAATTGTCTTGGCACCATTGTCAAGAAATCAATCATAAATGTTAGGATTTGTTTCTGGACTCTCAATTCTATTTTACTGATCTTTATTTCTATTACAATGTTCACACCACAATGTCTTAATGCTTTATAGTGAATTTTAAAATCAAGAGGTGGACTTTCCTAGTGGTGCAGTGGGTAAGAATCCACCTGCCAATGAAGGGGACATAGGTTCAATTTCTGGCCTGGAAGGATTCCACATGCCACGGAGAAACTGGGCCCGTGTGCTGCAGCTACTGAGCCAGTGCTCTAGAGTTTGTGAGCTGAGACTACTGAGCCTGTGTGCCATGATTACTGAAGGCCGCTTATCTAGAGCCAGTGTTCCGCAACATAAGGGGTCACCACAATGAGAGGCTCACACACTGCGACTGAAGGGTATCCCGCATTCCCCACAACTAGAGAAAAGCCCAGACAGCAGTGAAGACCCAGCATAGCCAAAAATAAAAATAAAATTATTTTAAAAAATCAGTCAAAAATAGTTTAAAAATTAAAAAAATCAAGAGGTGTTGAGTCCCTCAATTTCACTGTTCTTACTCAAGACTATTTTTATTACTCTGGGTCTCTTGCATCTCCATATGATTTAAGGACAAACTTGTCTGAATCTGTTTAAAAAAAAAAGTGGGGGCAGCAGTTGGAATTTTGACAGAAACTGCATTGAATCTGTAAATCAACTTTGAAGCACTGCCATCTTGGTAATTAATAAGTCTTCTAATCCATGAACAAGACATGAATATTTACCCAGATCTTTAATTCCCTTCAGTGATGTTTTATAGTTTTCAGTGTATGAGTCTTCAACTTTTTATTATTTTTATTTCTAAGTATTTTATTCTTTGTGATGCTATTACAACTGGAATGATTATATAATATCATTTGGGGTTATTCATTGCTAATGCATAGAGACACAATTGGTTTCATGTATTGACTTTGCATCAGGTCACCTTGCTGAACTTGTTTACTGGTTCTAACAGGCTTCTGTGTATGTATGGTCTGTATTTCTTAAAATTTTCCATATAGATGTCAGCTGCAAATATGAACAGTATTACTTCTTTTCCAATCTGGATGGTTTTTCTTTTTCTTGCTTAAGTGCCCTGACAATCTAAATGGTAAGAGCTGACAACTTTATCTGGCTCCTGATCTTAGGGGGAAAGTATTCATTCTTTTACTAAGCATGATGTTAACTGGGGGTTTTCGAAGATGAAGTTTTACACAGATGTCCTTTATCAGGGTGAGGAAATTCTCTTCTGTGAAGAATTAACTTTACCCAAAGAAAGGTCTGGCCTTTATCCTCAGTTTTCAGAAGTAATCTTCATGTCTGTTGGAGTGTCTTTGTTTGCCTATATGCTTGAGTCACACTGGAACAGTATGATTTAGTTTGGGGGCTTTGGGTCACACAGTATCCGTAGACCTCTGGAGAGACTGGAGACTGAGATGAACCATGTGATAAACTGGTCAGGCCTAAGTAATGGAGCCCCAGTAAAAACTTTGAACGTCAGTGTTTGGGTGAGCTTTCCTGGTTGGCAATACTCTAGGAGCACTGTCACATACTGATGGTGAGAAAGTAATGCACTTCACATTTGATACTTTCCTGGTTTCTGCCATATGTTTTTCTTCCTTGGCTGATTTTAATCTGAATCCTTTCTCAGCAATAAATCATAGCTGAGTATAATACCTTTCAGTGAATTCTGTGAGTGACCATAGTAAACCTAAGGGTGGCTTTGGAAACCCTGTTACATTACAGTTGGTATCAGAAGTGAGAGTAGTCTTGTGTGAACTACTGTGATCCCCACTAACTATTCAGACATTCCAACTCTTTCTGCCTTCTGTTCCTAGTTTCTTGGGTACTTTTATCAGGAGAGTGTAGTGGATTTTCTCAAATTTTTCTTGTGTCTATTAAAATTATCATGTGGTTTTTTTCCCTTTATTAATATGTTGAATACCTGGTTAATTTTCATATGTTGAACCGATTTTGCATTCCTGAAATAAATCCCACTTGATCACAGCATATAATACCATTCACATGCTTGCTAGATTCAGTTTGTTAATACTTTCTTGAGGGTTGGTTCATTTATATTCATAAGGAATATTAGTCTCTAGTTTTCTTTTCCTGTGATGTTTGATATTAGGGATATACTTGCCTCATAAAATGAGTTGGGACATGTTTTATATTTTCTGGAAGAGTTTCAGAAGAGTTGGTATTTTCTTCTTCTATATAGGTCTAGTAGAATTTACTAGTGAAGCAAATACCTTGTTCTAACAACCCAAGAGACAACTCTACACAAGGACATCACCAAATGGTCAATACTGAAATCAGACTGATTTATAGTCTTTGCAGCCAAAGAGGAGAAGCTCTATAGAGTCAACAGAAACAAGACCTGGAACTGCCTGTGGCTCAGATTATGAGCTCCGTATTGCAAAATTCAGACTTCAATTTGAGGAAAATAGGGAAAACCACTAGGCCATTCAGGTATGACCTAAATCAAATTCCTTATGATTATACAGTGGAGGTGATGAACAGATTCAAGGGATTAGATCTGGTAGCAAGTGCCTGAAGAACTATGGATGGAGGTTCGTAACACTGTACAGAAGGCAGTGACCAAAACCATCCCCAAGAAAAAGAAACGCAAGAAGGCCAAGTGATCATATGAGGAGGCTTTACAAATAGCTGAGGAAAGAAGAGATGAGGAAGGCAAGGGAGAAAGGGAAAGATATACCCAACTGAATGCAGAATTCCAGAGAATAGCAAGGAGAGATAAGAAGGCCTTCTTAAATAGACAATGCAAAGAAACAGAAGAAAACAATCAACTGGGAAAGACCAGAGATTTCTTCAAGAAAACTGGGGATATTAAGGGAACATTTCACACAAGGATGAACATGATAAAGGACAGAAACAGTAAGGACCTAATAGAAAGAAGAGATTAAGAAGATGTGGCAAGAATACACAGAAGAACTGTACAAAAAAGGTGTTAAAGACTGAGATAACCATGATGGTGTGGTCACTCACCTAGACTCAGACATCCTATAGTGTGAAGTAGGCCTCAGGAAGCACTACAAAAGAATAAAGCTAGTGGCTTTACAGTGGATTTACAGCTTAGCTATCCAAAATAGTAAAAGATGATGCTGTTAAAGTGCTGCACTCAATATCTCAAAATCAGAAAAACACTGGTGGCCATAGGACTGGAAAAGGTCAGTTTTCATTCCAATCTCAAAGAAAGGAAACACCAAAGAATGTTCAAACTACCATACAACTGTGCTCATTTCATATGCTAGTAAGGTTATGCTCAAAACCCTTCAAGCTAGGATTCAGTAGTACGTGAACCTAGAACTTCCAGATGCACAAGCTGGGTTTAGAAATGGCAAGGGAACCAGAGATCAAATTGCCAACATCCACTGATCATAGAAAAAGCAACAGAATTCCAGGAAAACATCTACTTCTGCTTCACTGACTACACTAAAGCTTTTGTGTGGATCAAATCAAATTATGGTAAATTCTTAGAGATGAGAATACCAGATCACCTCATCTGCCTCCTGAGAAACCTGTAAGTGGGTTAAGAAGTAATAATTAGAATCGGACATGAAAACAACGGACTGCTTTAAATTGGAAAAGGGGTATAACAAGAATGTATATTGTTACCCTACTTATTTAACTTATATGCAGAGTACATCATGCGAAATGCTGGGCTGGATGAATCACAAGTTGGAATCAAGATTACTGGGAGAAATAGCAACAACCTGAGATATAGGGATGATACCACCCTTATGCCAGAAAGCAAAGAGGAACTAAAGAGCCTCTTGATGAGGGTGAAAGAAGAGAGTGAAAAAGCTGGCTTAAAACTCAACATTCAAATGGTTATATTTGACTAATTTAAAATTAAATACTCTGCCAAATAAAAGACTTATTTTTAAGTACACAAACAAAAACACTCAACACTTAAAAAGCTAAGACCATGGAATCTGTCCCATCACTTCATGGCAAAGAGGAGGAGATAAAGTGGAAGCAATGACAGATTTTATTTTCTTGGGCTCTGAAATTACTGTGGATGGTGACTGCAGCCATGAAATTAAAAGACACTTGCTCCTTGGAAAGAAAGCTATGACAAACCTATTCAGCATACTGAAAAGGAGAGACATCACTTTGCCAACAAAGGTCCACAGAGTCAGAGATATGATTTTTCCAGTAGTCATGTATGGATGTGAGAGTTGGACTATAAAGAAGGCTGAGCGCTGAAGAATTGATGCTTTTGAATTGTGGCGCAGGAGAAGACTCTTGAAAGTCCCTTGGACAGCAAGGAGATCAAACCAGTCTATCCTAAAGGAAATCAACCCTGAATATTCATTGGAGGGACTGATGCTGAAACTGAAGCTCCGATATTTTGGCCATCTGATGGGAAAAGTCAACTCACTGGAAAAGACCTCAATGGTGGGAAAGATTGAGGGCAAGAGAAAGGGGTGACAGAGGATGAGATGGTTGGATGGCATCACCAAGTCAATGGACATGAGTTTGAGAAAACTCTGGGAGATAGTAGAGGACAGGGAAGGCTGGCATGCTGCAGTCCATGGGGTCACAAAGAGTTGGACACGATTTAGCGGCTGAAGAACAACTAGGGAAGCCATTTTGGGTCTTGGCTATTTTTTATGATTTTTTAAAATTAATAATTCAAGTTCTTTTGTTATACTTATTCAGAATCTTGAGTCCATTTTCATAGTTTGTGTCTTTCTAGGAATTTGTCCATTTCATCAAGGTTGTCTAATTTCTTGGCATGCAATTATTCACAATATTCCCTTACAATCCTTTACATTTCTCTAAGGTCTACAGTGATGTCTCTTCTTTTATTCCTGACTTTAATAATTTGAGCGGTCTTTTTTTCATTCATCAGTTTAACCAAAGTTTTGTTAATTTTGTTGAACTTTGCAAAGAACCACGTTTTGATTTCATTGCTTTTCTGTACTTCTTTCTATGTAACAACTGACTTTGGCAAACACGAATGAAAACGCACATTCTAAAAATAACATTAAATTTACAACCACACTGAAACTGGTAAAGAAAGTTTTTCAATGGTTTAAACTTTTTTTTTGTCAAAGAACATATCATGACTGTCATAAGGATCATGTGACAATAGAGATTTGAGTAAGTATTAGATTCATCCCATTTTCTTGCTCAACTCTTGAAGCCCAGGAGAAAACCTAGCTAAGGCCTGCATTCTGTGATACACCTCATCTCAAGGTGACAAACTGAGGCTTCGGCTCCAGTTTTACCTGAACGGTTCAATATTTAAAAGCTGTCTTTAGGCATGACTAAGAGGTGTCCCCCAGAGTCTGTGAACAGAATGTTAGCCCAGTTTGCCTAGGAACAGCCTTTGACTATTCCAGCTCCAGCCTGTTAAAAGTACACACCAAGCACAATACAAACATTTTTTTAAAAAACAAGTATAGAAATATCGCTAAACTGGGAAGCAAAAAAGGAATTGGACATTTTGTATTATGAAAGTATAAGTAATATACTCACCGTTCATTATCCAAGGCATATCGAAGATCACAATTTTTGCTGAAAGATGGGGGGAAAAAATTCATTGACTGTAACTCAGTGCTGCAATAGTAGTATCACTCACACCTGATCAAGAAAAAACTAGTAACATAAATGTAACTAAAAGCTGAGATATATGACTCAGGTTTAATCCCGTGAAGTATGAGTAGTGCTAAAAGTAAACTAACTTCTCACAATGGTGAGGGGTTCACCCAGGCGGATGGCTTATGTGTAATGAAAAATGCACTATCACTGCCCGCTGGCAAATACCCTGTTCCTTTATTCATTTATAGCTTTTGTTTTTTGCAGAAAAGTACAAAAAATAGTTAAGTGGGTAAGTGGAGACTATGGATGTGGCATGTGGTATTAGTGCTAAAGTCCACTGACCTTTAAAATGATTTCAATGTCTAATTTATAGTTTCAATTATAATTTTATAGAGATTATATTGTTAAACCCACTCTTGACAGTTGTCCTCATTTTTAGTAAGTCATGTTTTAAGAAACAGAACTTGTTTCAACTTTTCTTAATATTATCAGCCCTAGGAAGCCAATAATTCCGAAGTATACAGAAATATTAGTTGTATACTTAGATGAAGATATTAAACAGCTCTATTAACAATTGTGACAAAGAATCAGAACTCACAAAAGGGACTTTTGATATAAAATTCATTCTATTTCAGATAAAAGACAATTTCATTCTTCTCTGAAAAGGGAACCTCTTAGAATAATTAATGTAGGACAAGTAAAGTACATGTAGGGCAGAAGGTACATGGAAACAGGTACCCTGGTGCTTGATACCTCAGTCTTCATCTGAGATATGCCTCAAAAGACCTGGATTCAATAGTTTAAGAAATAATAGTTACATTTCATGACAAATTTTAAAGCCTGGGTGTTCACTGGAAGGAATGATGCTGAAGCTGAAACTCCAATACCCTGGCCACCTCATGTGAAGAGTTGACTCACTGGAAAAGACCCTGATGCTGGGAGGGATTGTGGGCAGGAGAAGGGGACGAGAGAGAATGGGATGGCTGAATGGCATCACTTACTCGATGGACATGGGTTTGAGTAAACTCCAGGAGGTGGTGATGGACAGGGAGGCCTGGCGTGCTGCGATTCATGGGGTCGCAAAGAGTCGGACACGACTGAGTGACTGAACTGAACTGAATCTAAGATTTGATAAAATTCAATGTCTGCAAAGCATTATGCAGCTAGAATATATACATTATATAGTTATTTGGAATGATAGTGTTCAATTCATCTTCATATAGACCCATGAATTTATTAACAGTTTCCTCAAAAGAATCTTAGATGTATTTTATAAAGTAGTAATAATATTTGTGCTCTTCAAAATGGCTCTTCACAAACTGCTTTGGATATTTCAATAAACGAGTGGAGATTTTTCTTTCATCTTGTACATAAAAGAAAGAAAACCTAATAGTATGGGGTAGTGTTTCCCAACTGACCAATGACTGGCACCACTCAGCAGGTCTTAATGAATCAGGGTACATGCCAGATCCAGGAAGAATTCAGAAGGAACAGCAGATCCTATAGGTTCCCCAAACCAAACATTCCTTTTACCTAAAAATGTTCATGAATGCTCTCTCTGAAAACATGAGAGCACAGGGCTACGAGTGGCACGGATCCTTGATATCCATCATGCTTTCTGTCTGCTCTTCACTTCACATTAACACTAATGTGAAAGCATGTCAGCAATAACCACCACAGTACTGTAAAGTTATTAGCCTCCAATTAAAATAAATAATTTAATTTAAAAAACCCACCAAAAAAAAAAAAAAAGCTTGACCTAAAAAAATATATAATGACTTAGGGATTTCATGCTTTAGTGTCACCTGAGTTACAAGTCCCAAAAGATCCCAACTGTAGAATTTGCCAGGGGTGTATCCAACCAGACCTCAGTTTTTTTCTGATATCCCTGTTGCATCTCTCCTGTCTCTTTACTTTCATCCTACAGGGGTTAAAAGTTTTTAACTATCTATGGAGGATGGCATCTTGAGTCTTCAGGGGGAAACCATCATATAAATCTAATCAATCAAACATGAATATATAACATGTAGGAGTGCCTCATTTAGGTAATTAACAGAAGACTCACAATTAAAAAACAAAATCTAAATGCCAACTAGTCAAATGTTTTCTTAGTAACAATTTAAAAATATCAAATTGATAGAAACAGTGCATTTTATGTTTGAGTATTGCTTATCACACAGTATACTTATCAATACTGCTCATCTGTTTCTTACAATGTAAGAAGCTCCAAATAATACTTAAAATTAATTTCTCAGTTGAAAATATTAGTAAAAATGGTACAATCTTAGAAATATACATATGTTTTTATGTCTCTACATGTGTGTGCATGTGCGTGTTACAGGATGACAAATACATAGATTATAACTTATACTCTTAAAACTATAAAGGACAGTGATTATTTATTTATGAAAATTTTCTCCTGTACCTACTAGGATATGCACTTAAAATTCTATTAACACATTTAAAGCTCTTCACCAAAAAGTAATGTCTCAGGTTTTAAAGGCTATAATAATATAAAGCTCACAACTGTCGTTGTCTATGGTTTCACTATATTTTTATAAATAAGAAAGTTACTTACAGAGGTATTTAGGGTAATAAACCTTAAAGCAGTTGATGATAAAGCGTACAAAGTCCATGTCCTAAAATAAAGAATATACATTTAAATTTACATAATATCCACATTAGAAAATTTTAAATTGCGTATTTCTAAGGGTGATCAATTAAATAAAAATGAGGTAATTATTAAATTCTTTTTAAAAAGCTCATAAAATAAGTATCTATATTCCCAGAATTTGGTTTTAAGTCATTAAGATACTTAAAATAATCAATCTTAAAACTGAATTAAATATATGGCTGAGTCCCTTTGCTGTTCACTTGAAACTATCATAACATTGTTAATCAGCTATACCCCAATACAAAATAAAAAGTTAAAAAAAACAGAGTTAAAGAAATTAAATGCTTACACATCATTCATCTTACTTCAAACTAGTTAGATACTTCAGGCTGCTAAGGTAATGTGGCATTATAAAATGGATCTAAAAAGGAACTCTCATAGAAAAGTTCTAAAAATCTGTTGAACAATTAAAGAATTATTTACAACATCACTCGTTATCAGAGAAATGCAAATCAAAACCACAATGAGGTACCATTACACGCCAGTCAGGATGGCTGCTATCCAAAAGTCTACAAGCAATAAATGCTGGAGAGGGTGTGGAGAAAAGGGAACCCTCTTACACTGTTGGTGGGAATGCAAACTAGTACAACCGCTATGGAAAACAGTGTGGAGATTCCTTAAAAAACTGGAAATAGAACTGCCATATGACCCAGCAATCCCACTTCTGGGCATACACACCCAGGAAACCAGATCTGAAAGAGACACGTGCACCCCAATGTTCATCGCAGCACTGTTTATAACAGCCAGGACATGGAAGCAACCTAGATGCCCATTAGCAGACGAATGGATGAGGAAGCTGTGGTACATATACACCATGGAATATTACTCAGCCATTAAAAAGAATTCATTTGAATCAATTCTAATGAGATGGATGAAACTGGAGCCCATCATACAGAGTGAAGTAAGCCAGAAAGATAAAGACCATTACAGTATACTAATGCATATATATGGGATTTAGAAAGATGGTAACGATAACCCTATATGCAAAAGAGAAAAAGAGACACAGATGTACAGAACAGACTTTGGGACTCTGTGGGAGAAGGCGAGGGTGGGATGTTTCAAGAGAATAGCATCGAAACATGTATATTATCAAGGGTGAAACAGATCACCAGCCCAGGTTGGGTGCATGAGACAAGTGCTTGGGCCTGGTGCACTGGGAAGACCCAGAGGGATCGGGTGGGGAGGGAGGTGGGAGGGGGGATCGGGATGGGGAACACATGTAAATCCATGGCTGATTCATGTCAATGTATGGCAAAAACCACTACAATATTGTAAAGTAATTAGCCTCCAACTAATAAAAATAAATGGAAAAAAATAAATTAAAAAAAAAAACCTAAAAAAAAAAAAGAATTATTTAGAACAAATATACAGACTACAGCCTGACTACTGGGAATGGCAATATATATGTATATAAATTCTGATATGTCTCTTTTTCAAACCTAATTTCTATACCTCATAATAGTCAGTAAGATATATTTTATTAATCTTTTACACAGCAGTTAATCTGATCATACCAGCTCAATGGATCGACTTCTACCTTTATTCCTCTTATGTAGGAATCAAGAATAAGAATTTTGTTAGTGTATATTTAAATACTGTTCATTGACTTCAATTTCTGGGAGATATAGCTGACTGTTGGTTCTACTGCACCAAACACAGCAACATGAAATTAGATTATCAAGGATACTATTTACATGGATCATTTCATTTTGTATGTTTCCACTGGCCATGGGATGACTTACTAATGACTTGTAAGGACTGTAGGATGAAAAATACAACCATGTAAACTTAAAGGCATCAATTACTAAAAGGTGAGCTGTCCCGGAGATCTGAGTCTATAAAATTATTCCTAGCATGCGAGTTATAGCATCTTTTAACTCCAATAAACTGAAAATAAGCATCCTTAAGTATCCTAAGTATTTACTATGGAATAAACCCTAGCATATAATAATACTTTTATAGCTAGTCATTATATCTACTGTACACAGCGTTTAATAATCTGTAGTAAAGTAAGAGTCAAAGAGAATAACTCAAAATTTATATATTTAACTATCTAGTACATGATCTGTGGCCCCCAGACTTTGCCTAAAAAGTTCTTGTCCAATATTCTTGTTTTCACCATTTATTTAACTGAATCACCTGGCTTATAAAATCCCAAATTACTGCTAATTCAAGTCGATTTAATAGGATGCCACTGGTGTACGTATATTGGTAGGTACTACATAAAGAAGTTCCATGAAACCCATTGCTCTGCAATCTGTGAGGATATTTTCAAGGATGCTAGTCATTATCCTATAAAACGTCTTCCCTTTGAAGACCCATGAAAGACTTTTCTTCTAGTTCAAGTATCAGGAATGGATGAACTTCTCTTAAGACACAGGTTTTAAAGTATGTCCACTGAGTAATTTTAAATGTTTCCATTTCTTTCAGGCAAGCTTAAAGCCAAATTAGTGGCCTAACTCTAATAAATAATTGTAAAAATTTTTGACTTACAATTCTGTATACATCTTTATAGGCCAGCTTAAATCTTTTGTGAATTGTGAGGATTATATATAATTATATATATATATAAACATTACTATGTATAAACATAGAAATATATAAACATTATATAAACATAATTCAGTAAGATTCTAGTACTTGGAAATATTAATGATTTACATATTAAGTAATGCAAATAAATCTTATTTATAAATTAAAGTTAATGAAATAAAATATAAGTAGTTTGAAAAATTATCAGACAGCTCAACTCTCTGCCCCTGTATTTGTTAATAAAAAACATTAACTTTTTTTATGATTCTGGGTTAATTCAAATATTAATTATTAGAATACTATCATACATAAAGGATAACAGAATCATAATTTATTTTCATGGAATATCTATTTATCTAGGCATTTTGGTTTAGATTTGAGATATAAAATGATTTACTCTGTAATCTAGAACTCACTGACATGGAAACTAGATTGAAAAATGAATCAAGGCCAAATGACTCAGAGATACAGAAAGATGAAAAAAAATGTGGGCTTACTGTCTAAAAATACTCTAGGTTTTTTTTTTTAAATGTCTAAAGTTTCCCTTTTTGGGGTGAGATATCACTATGATATAATTTTGTCACCTTTTTCATATAAAAAAAAAGCTATTTTCCAGTATTACTGCAAATTCTTTATAAACAGCATTGTACATAGCTACACATATGCCATCAGTTAGATATACCATAATTCACCACTTCACTGTGTTGACATTTACATTTTTTCTAATTTTTCACCATTTTAAATGACACTCTGAAAAAAAAAATTCTGATGTACAAAGGTTTATTTTTTGTACCAAGGTTTATTTCTTTAGAATAGATTTCCAGAAGTTAATTACCAGGCAAAGAGTATGAATACGAACACTTGAAAGATATTTACATACTTTGCCAACTGGATTTTCAAAAAGATTTCAACACTGATGCAGGCGGGTCCCCAAATGCCACTTCACTGCCACCAGCATTAGCCCAGGTTTGAGGGTTAGAGACAACAGCTCTAATAAACAGACAACAAATCCCCATCACTGCTGAAGGGTTTGCAGTCAGCACTAAGGGCTCAAATGAAAGACTGGTAAGTTTTATTTATTTTTTAAGATTGGCAAGAATCACCTGAAGGAAACTGGGTTTGAAAACTAACCAAATCAAACAGAAAGCGAATTTAAAGGAGCAAACAAGAAACCAACAAAATCACAAAGTGCTGGATATGCAAAAACGCAAGTGAACATCCTGCCACTGCAAAATCACGGCATGCAGGTAATGGTATGCTGGAGAGCCTCCACTACCGTGCTTCTCATTTTCGGAGTGCATTCCTCTGTGCCAGGCACAGGGGAGGTGCTATAGAGGATGTTGGCTCTGATAGAAAAGTTCACTGTTACCACATCTACTCATTACCCTGCCAGCCTTGACATCCAATATCCTGCATATCGGGCAAGGAACATTTCTAGGAAATAGACAGTTTCAATGCCAAATAGGTTTAGTTTTTTTGCAAATCCTATTCCATGTTTGACTTCAATCACAATTCTGGGCAGGGGGAATAAAGTCCAAACATGACTTGATTAGCTCAATTTTATAGGATTCTTTGGTTGAGTGGCCGGTGATGGGAAGGACAGGAGAGGAGGACGACACCATGATAAACAATGATTCAGAATTAATGAAAAATGCTTACTATGCTATTCAGTCCAGTCTCTGACAGGTCAAACATCACTGTAACAGGCTTCCCATTTTCTCTCTTAGCATACCGTTCCAACCAGAATGCAATAAGCTTCTTTTTGTCCAACATGGTCTTATGGTCTTTTATATGGTACTTCACCCTGATCCAGACTTTGAGCAGAACATAAGATAAAAAGAAGAAAAAATATTTAGAGCATTTTAATACTATTTTATGCATATATCATTCCTTTCCCTTGACATTGTTAAATTTATATTTCATTTTGTTTCTCAGATTAAAAACATCTCTTCCTTCTTTTAAATGAGAAACAGTGTATACTTGTTTCTCTTACTCTTAAAGAGTCACAGAAAGGCATTTCCGCCCCCTTAGAAAAACATGTATATTATCTAGGGTGAAACAGATCACCAGCCCAGGTTGGGTGCATGAGACAAGTGCTCGGGCCTGGTGCACTGGAGGGTGCACCCAGAGGGATCGGGTGGAGAGGGAGGTGGGAGGGGGGACCGGGATGGGGAATACATGTAAATCCATGGCTAATTCATTTCAATGTATGACAAAAACCACTGCAATGATGTAAAGTAATTAGCCTCCAACTAATAAAAATAAATGGAAAAAAAAAAGGAAAATACACTTTCCTCCTTGGTAAGCAAGGGAAGAAAGACAATACAGGTGAACAAGTAATATTTGCAAGTACTCTGCCCTGTGCTTAACAATAAAGAAAGCACTAGAGAAACATGCTATCCAGAGGAAAAGGCCAGACAGAAGCACAATGGTGGCAAAAGCGGGTGTCGTGCGTGGGGGCAGAGCATGGCGCGTGTTGAGAGTGGTGGCAGCTAGGACAAAGTGTGACGAGCAGTGGGAGGAGTAGCTGAACAGAGGCAGAGCTGGGCTCAAAGGGCTCTGCGTTAAGTGCTAAGGTGTTTTGACTTTCCTATTTCAAACATCTCTAGGCAGCAGCACAGAGGGGAGGCCCAGCAGGCTGCATCCTGGGCTGGGGAGGGGCTGGGACTGAAGTGAGGAAGTGCTGCTGAAATCAGAGGAGGGGCTCAAGTGAAGCTCTGTCCAGGGAAGAGCAGATGGCTTGTGGACCTGAGCTGGGCAGCACAGGGAAGGCGGTGGCGGGACGTGTGTGGCGCACTGGGTGTTGTGTTGAAGGTGCCCACCGCCGAGCCGGTGCGCAGCTGGCCACGTATGTGCATGTGGCCTGGGGGCCAGCCTGGGGTCACTGCGGTGTGGTGGACGGGGGCTGAAGGAGCCCGGGTACTTGACATCACCCAAGGAGGCAGCATCAGCTGGAAAGGAAAAGAGGCCAGGAAAGGAACAAAGCCTGGGAAACACATGTGAGGCACCAAGTGGAAGAAGAGAAACGGGAAAGGAAGCCTGAGCAGGAGGAGCCAGCACGGGGAGGAAAACGCTCCGAGAGGCCGCAGACCGGGCGTGCGAGGCGGGCACGGAGCGTGCAGCACCCTGCTTCGGCAGGCTGACGGCCCAGGATGGGGGCTCCGCCGTGGCCACCGAGGCCCAGCCATGGTGCCAACCGAGCTGCGTTTTGGGCAAAGAGAAGAGAGGACTGACGAGGGAGACCGGCAGGCTGCCGGTCGCCTCACTCAACACACTGATTTAGGAAGAAGCAAGGGGAGAAGACTGTGGGAAACTCGAGAAGAAAAAAGTCCATTTAGCCATCCTCAGTGACTGTCAAAAACATTCTCCATCAGGATACCGGGTTGAATTTTCATATCAGTAAATTAGAAAGAAGAAAATGACTTTGAGTTACATCATTTCAGCTGTGTGATGGGATGTGGCATTTGGGCCTTTACAGCCTGCTTTATTATAATGCAAATGGCACATTCAACTACTTGGTCCACCTGGCCCTAACCACTCCCACTGTAGGAAACCTGACATATGGTTCATACACAGAAGGTTATGCCTATAATCAATTCACTTGAGATGGATGATGTCTCAAAATCCTGAAAAGCCAGTACATATATTAAATATACTCACACAACTTGTTGCCTTCTTTGTCATAACCGTGGAGATAAATGCCACCAATTTCCAATAGCCACCTGGGAATGGAGGCTTCCGTCAGGTCTAAAAGGTGACAAACTTTAATGAGTAATTCTAACTCAGAGGTCTTTTAAAGAGAATACTTACAAAGTAAAGGTTACTATTACATAGTGGTTCTGATACAGAAAAAGATAAGGCTATTTTTTTAAAAAGATACAGCTTTTGCAAACATCCGGAAAGTACCTCTGATGATAAAAAGAATAGTGTTTCTTAATAAGTAGGAAGAAACTACATAAGGACAGAGATGAGAAAAATGGAAAAAATCCATTTCCTTTTACATGTCAGCCATTATGATATGGACACATTTTCATGTTCTGATTTTATTCCTCATAATGACTTGCAAACAAATATCACTATTGGACAATTTCGGAAGAACATGGCAGTAAATATCCACATCATAGTCTTGGAGGTGATGTAAGAAATCACTATGGTTTCTCTAGTAAAATGTTTTTCTACAAAGTCTATTTTTCTACAAAGTCTGATAACCAGCAGAGTCTAACACATTTATAATCTTGGCACAGGTGGGAAATACTTCAAGAAAAATGCTAGATCCTTTAGCAGGAGGCCTCCTCTCTAGCAAGGTCAAGAACCAACACAGCAAGGCAGCAAATGCCAAGGCTTTTGTGTCATTCATCAGTACTTCCCTAAGAACTCTCAAAGATGTCTTTATCTTTCCCCACCCCTCTTTCATCATATCTCTGCCATTGGCCACTAGAAACTAGCAATTCTATGTAAGAGAAAACTATTGCTGAGTTTAGGTTTATCCTGTACTTAAACGATTTAGGAATATCAGGTTTATATTTCTTGCTTGATTAATAAATGCTCACTGTTCAAATTACCTACAGTTTTTATATTTCCAATCAAGTGATTTTTTAAATACCCTCCTTCTGATAGATTCCTTCTCCAAATATGATGACTGGAAAGAGTATCTGCTCTGGATTTATTTGTTGACTATTTTGTATTAAATCTCCAGACTCGGTCACTCCAGAGTTTATAATCCTTATAGTCAGGAAACCCTTCTTTAAACCTCATTAAAACCAGTAGTTTCAATGACTTATTTGAAAAGACCCTGATGCTGGGAAAGATTGAAGCAGGAGGAGAAGGGGACAACAGAGGATGAGATGGTTGGATGGCATCACCAACTCGATGTACATGAGTTTGAGTAAGCTCCAGGAGTTGGTGATGGACAGGGAGGCCTGGCGTGCTTCAGAACATGGGGTTGCAAAGAGTTGGACACGACTGAGCAACTGAACTGAAACCAGTAGTTATGCCTGTTTCTTCCTGTTAAATTTTTTAGGAGGAGAGAGATAATGGGTAACTTTTCCTGAAAAGAGATCTTCACTTACTTAAAGACTACTACATAATCCCCTCTAAGATCTAAAACTCTTTTTTTTGGGGGGGGGGGGGCACAATTTCAATCTAGAATTGGACCTTGAAATCAAGATGTTAAGAGGAGGCAGCTACAGGCATCCTTGGGGATAGGCTTGCATTTGGGGGATTCCCATTCGTCTAGTAATTCCACATGGAGCACCTATTAGCACAAGCAACCCTGGGAATAGAGGCAGACACCAGGCAACAACTGAGAAAAACAGGCAAATAGTATCTCTCTCCAGGCCTGGTGGTGAAGATGCTGAGCTGCTAGTTTAATTAAGGTTCTAAACCAAAAAGCTACAGAATAGGAGGCTGTGCTGTTAGTGAAGAACTTGAGTGTGATTCGGCTCCTTGGCAATCTGATTTCCTTGTGAATAATCCTACATTTAAGACTTATTTATAAGATGCTTCTCTCAAAGCGTTACTGGGTCTTTATAAAACCTTGTACCCTGATATTTATGGTGACTGCCAAGAATATTTCCAAATATGCTATTTGATAAATGTAAAAATAGTAACATTTATTCAGGGAAGGGATACAGTACACAGTCAAGGTTAAATTGAACAGCTTACCATTGACAGCCATTTCTTTCCTCCACTGAAAACTCTCATCAAGCATCTTCAGTGTTTCATCTATGACATTATGCCTCCAAGCCAAGTAACTTTCAACCCAGTTATCATCTTGCTGTAGTCTTTCAACATCACGTGAATCATACTTATCTGACTTATCTAGGGGAAAAACAGTAATAAATATCCATGTCAGATAAATTCTGCAGTGAATGATAACCAATACTAATACCAAAGGAGAAGAAAGACCCGAAGGATAAAGCTAAGCTATTTGAAGATAGACACAGGGATGCAGTTCAGATGAAAATGCAATTTAAAGGATTGATGGAATTTCTAAGTGTGACTAAAATAAAGTTACCTAAAAATTGCAGCTTTATTTCAAGATAAGCCACCACAGGTGTAAAAAAAAAAAAAAGAACATAGTAAAATATTTTGCATAACCCTCTCTAAAACCATAAATGAAGATCTGGGAAGAGCAATTATGTTATCGGAACTTGAAGTCCTCACACTAGTCAATGAAAAATGAACTTTTGTGTAAAGAAATAACTAAGTTGTACTTAAAAAGACATGTATTTGACATATGTCTTTTTTGAAAAGGAACTAAATCCAAAATGGAAATGATATATGCAGCAGTCAACATTTCCCATAGTTCACTGGAATGTGTGTGCGTGTTGTGTTAGTTGCTCAGTCATATCCGACTCTTTGCAACCCTCTGGACTGTAGCCTGCCAGGCTACATTCATGGACAGAGGTCCATGGAATTCTCCAGGCAAGAATACTGGAGTGGGTTACCATTTCCTTCTCCAGGGATCTTCCCAACCCAGGGATTGGACCCAGGTCTCCCACATTGCAGGCAGATTCTTTACCACCTGAGCCACCAGGGAAGCCCTAGTTGGAGTAATTGTTGCCAATATTGTCTCATTATTCACCTACACACAAGCTGTGTTCTCATCAACCTCTGCTGCTGCTGCTGCTAAGTCACTTCAGTCGTGTCCGACTCTGCGCGACCCCATAGATGGCAGCCCACCAGGCTCCCCCGTCCCTGGGATTCTCCAGGTGAGAATACTGGAGTGGGTTGCCATTTCCTTCTCCAATGCATGAAAGTGAAAAGTGAAAGTGAAGTCGCTCAGTCATGTCCGACTCTTCACGACCCCATGGACTGCAGCCTACCAGGCTCCTCCGTCCATGGGATTTTCCAGGCAAGAGTACTGGAGTGGGGTGCCATTGCCTTCTCTGCATCAACCTCTACATACCTCTATACCCTCCTTCCACGCCCCACTCTGTTCTCCTGTAACTGAAGTTTCCTTGTCTCCTTACAACCACCTCTGCACATCCAAATTCTACCATTCTCTAAGACTCGTTTCAAATGCTTCCTCTCCCATAAAATTTTCCCTAGGCCCAGAAGTAATTCCTTCCCTGTGAATAGCTAGTGGACCTAAACTATGCCTTTCTTAAGGCACTTAGCGCATTTCCCCTTGAATCCGAGTTACTGGCATTTATGCCATATCTTCCTGTACAGAAATCTTAACAGCACAGTCTATACATCCTAAGATGCCCCCAGAGCAGATTACAGCAGAGCCAATGAAAAGACTTTTAGGAAATATTTGTGGACTGAATCTTTTCCTTTCCTATTTTTACTTTCTTGGGCAATGGTACCCTCCCAGGGCCCCAAGGAAAATATTTCAGAAAATCGCCTTCATCTCCATTTATTTTTTTGCCCCTAGTTAGTTACCAAATTGTATAGATTCTATCTCCTCTCCATTTGTTCTGACTTATTTCAGGCCCTCATGGATAACAGATGAAAGGGCAAGGGAATATAAAGTGCATTCATGGAATTATCTTCTTTGAGACCCAATTTCCATATCTTTAAATTGCATTAGATACCCACAGAGTTGTGTGAGGATCAGATGAAAATGTATATATATAAAAGTAGTTGAAAGTTTAAAGAACTATAAAATATAAGATGAGGCCATAAGTCATGTATTGTAGAGTGTTAGCTTGGATGTGGCTTTCAATATCTGGTCTCTACTTTTCTAACGTATACTCTGCTGTAGGTAAACCATGGAAAATGGTATTTTAGCTCTGCTATTCAAACATTCATCAATGTTCAAAGCAAAAAGGCCCCTGGGAACACCTGCCCCTCCAGAAGGACCATCCAGTTTGGCCACTGGACAACTTTCTCCAATGGACCAATATGGTGTTTTCCTTGAAATTACTGTTTGCCTTCAAGAAAATGTCTCCCAAAAACCCAAGTCTGAATAACCACAGTTTACTTAACAGTTGTTCTTTCAAATAAAAAGGGTGGTCCACGAAAAATATGACTAATTTAGTTGGCAATTCAAATGCACAAAAGTATTTTATGCATACTTCTCGATTTTGTTATCCAGGACACTTAAAGAACATGCACTCAAGGGTCAAGATTTAATAAAACTTACTGCTTCATTAGGGGCTTTCTAAAATAACATTGAAAAAAAAATAACATTGACTTAAAAAAAGTTTTAACTGAGAGTGCTGACAATGAAGACTATATTGGCCGTTCACCTTGATTCAGGCTGAGGAGGCGACAGCTTTGCGTACCAATGCTTCCGTGTAATCAAAGCAAATGAAAAGTGCAGAAAGCTTCTTAGCATCACTGTGAAAACAGCTCTGACCTCATGGGTTCCTGAAGAGCCCTTGGCATCTCCAAGGATGCAGGGACTAAACTCTGAGAACCCCAGGACAACATGTGGTTTAAGTGGTGAAGACTCAGAAAATTATTTGCCATAAGCAGAAGAATCAAACATACTTGCTGTTATTATCATTATTCCTACCCCTGTTGGTATTACCACTACAGTGTCCCTTACCAAGAAATGTAAAGCTTACTGCTCCTGGAGAGCTTTTAGGAATGAAGATTTTTGCAATCAGAAATCTCCATTTAGATGAAAATGATTGTTATTAATAAAACATGTACTTAAACACATGAGATGCCTGTTGCTAGACATTATCCCTAGATACAAAGAAATGGAAATAGAGCGCTAGAAAAGAGAGAGCAAGAGAGGACTAGGGAGAAGGTTCTGTAGGTGGAGGGAGAGAGGCGAGACAAGTGGGGGCAGAAGAGGACTGAGAAGAGGGCTACGGTAAGGAGACGGAGAGAAGGAAGGAGACAGAGAAACAGAAAACTGAGCATTCGAGGTAAGGAACACTTGACCTGGACCACAAGAGCAAGTGCAATACTGTTTATGACATCAGTCTGCTGCAACACAGCTCCCAGACAACTGGGCTGAGGGGAGGCAAAATACACAGCCCCAAACATGCTTCTCTGGTATACTGATTATTTTGAGCTATTTTTAATAAACAGCAGATACAGGAAAATCTCTATAAGGTGAGCAGAAGTCATCCTTTTATCAGAAAAAGTTATCCTTTTCTAAAAAGTCATCCTTTTATAAGGGAAGTCTCCATTTGTAAGGATGCCACCCTCTCTGTAACAGGAAGAGAAGAATGATGAGAAATCTCCTGAAACTCTTTATCAACACAGAAGGCAAGAACTTAAATCTGCACAACCATACCCTCGTTTACTGAGCTCTTCCTGGTCATCTCTAATACCTGACTCCCCACCCCAACATTTTCTTTTGCCTTTAGCTTGAGATGGTAGTGAAGGTGGTGGCTTGGGCCACTTTGAAGAGTGACTCAGTTCTCCTGGGTCTCTCTCAACGTATATAGGAGGTATACATATTATTGAACATGTTTGTTTTTCTCCTGTTCATCTGCCTTTTATCAATTTATGAGTCCAGTTAAAGAACCTAGAAGGGTAGAAGGAACTTCCACAGAACCCTCAAGTGTTAGGGAGTTTTCTGAAAACCTGTCCCTTGGTAAATCTAGATGTTACAGGGAAAAGCTAAAGATGTACACCCAGAAGGTATCTGAAGATATCAAAACCTTTCCCACTCCCCACCTAAGACATCACTTTACTTCTCAGTGACTAAAGCAGAGAGATAAAGAAGAGATCAGTCTCATACAGAGATATATGTGTACACTGTCAATACCTTGTCCTTATTACTTTCATCTTGCTGAGGACCAGTGAAAACTGCATCACAAACCAACGTGAATCTCAAGTAGCAGACTTTTAAACCTCATCCTTGCACTTGTTCAAAACAGTTCAAAGCTCATTTCTGGCCACTCCTCTGTTAAGAAACCTTAATGAACTATTGCCACACTTACTATGGTTTACTGTCTCTTTCTACTATTTCTCCTTATATGAATTTTGCTCTATAAATTGGTCTTATATTTATACAGTATATCACCAAGCCAACTGGACACTCCTAATTTTGCTAAGAAGCAGATAAGCAGAAATGGTGATTAACCTCTGAGTCAAACAGGACTAACTGTTCCAGAGAAAAGATGACTCCTCTCAACTCTCTTTCTTCCCCCACGTGCACATGCACACTTCCTTTGAGCTCTCTCACATACACACTTTTAAATGTTGCAAGATAAAGAGAACACAGTGCTTACTCATAAAACAGCAAATTACTAATTAACTAATCCATTACTAACTTTCTCTCTTGTATTTGTTGGCTGGTGAAATTACAAGCCAGCCAGAAACTATGTTTTAAGGTTAACAAATATGAAAAAAAAATTCATAGCCAGATTCAGGATGTGGGACAATGATGGAATCAGAAGACCCCTGCTATTAAGTATGTTCAGGGAGACTGAGCAAGTCACTCCAGGCCTGACTTTTCTTCTCTGTAAAATGTAGATAAAGTCTGCCTTTTCAGTCTTATGAAGATCAAGGACACTTTGAAAACTTTTAACACAATACCAATGAATTTTTATTAATATAAGGTAGAATGCTACCCATGAACAGAAAACTAAATTCTAATTGACCTATTAGTCAGTTGAGAAAATCTTGAAATTATATTGCAGTTATTATAAATGTGCCTAGAATGCATATAAAAGGTTAAAAAATGCAACAGTATTTTGATAATGAAAAACAGAGAACAGTTATCAACTGGGTGTCGTAATGTCAAAAAGTAGCAAATATACAACCCAAACATTACAGTAGTGTGAAATCTCATGTGTGTGTGGGTGCGTGTGTGTTTGGTCACTAAGTCACGTCCAACTCTTTGCAACCCCATGGACTGTAGCCCACCAGGCTCCAGTGTCCATGGGATTCTCCAGTTAAGAATA